ATATATATATATATTTTATTAAGGTGTCGATGTTCTCTTTGCTGGAATCGCGACGCATTTTGTACCATCGGAGAAACTCATGGATTTGAAACGCGATTTGTTAACGTTGCATGAAGTTGACAAGTCTGTTTTAACCATTTTAAATAAGTATCAACCGAAATTAAATTATAAATTCAGCTTGGCACCTCATATGTCACAGATAGAAAATTGTTTCTCTGCTCCAACCGTTGAAGAGATAATTGAGAGGTGAAATAGAAATAGCAAAAAATTAAATCAATATATTTTTACTTATAATACAGCAGTATATAATTTTGTTGTATAAAGATTGAAAAAAGATAATTCAGAATGGGCACAAAAAAACATAGATATACTACTCAAAATGTCTCCGTCTTCTCTCAAAATCACCAAAAAAGCGATCGATGAAGGAAAAGAAAAATCCTTAGTTGATTGTTTAAAGATTGAGTTTAGATTGGTTTGTACCGCTTTAACCAAAGACGGTGATTTCTATGAAGGTAATAAGATAAAATTTAACATATGTCTTACAAATTCTCTATTCTTGGATCAATATTTCAATTTAATTGTAGGTGTCAGAGCTCTTTTAATCGACAAAGATCAGAAACCATTATGGAAGCCGACATCTTTGCCCGATGTAACGAATGAATATTTAAATAAACGGTTCGCAATGCTTCCCGTGGAAAAAGAATTGCAGTTGTGTACCAGAAAACTAAATGGAAATTAAGAGAGTTTTTTATGTAGTTTTTTATGTGTGGATACAGAACTAGGCATTTCGATGCCTGAGGCAAAAAATGCATTTCTTAGTTCTTATAAAAATAATATTTCTTTATGACATGTGAAATATAATAAAAAATAATATGAATTAATGTTAATTAATAGTATATATTAATATTAATTTAATATAATCATGTATACGCAGGAGAAGAGTACGTTACAATCATACCATGTATATTACAAATATAGTTACTAAAATTACAATAATATTTGTTGTATTTTAATAGATGCGAAATTATCAATTATTATATCAAAATCTGTATCCTTACATATTTTATTCTCAATTGAAAGAATTCCTGTACTTAATAATTTTTCTTGATTTAATGATGATTTTAAATCATTTTTCATTAACTTCAATTTACTAAAATTTCTTTCACATAAAGCTATTGTTACCGGAATAGTTAAAAATATTCTCATTGATATCTCCAAGTTTGGATCCGATTCGGTTAAAGAATAATGAATCATTAGTTTTAAAATATCTGAAATATAGTAGAAGCTGATTCTATGATGACTGGAAAGTATTGATATTGCGAGAATGAAATTTTGAAATTTAAAATTTCGAAAGAACATACATATATTGTGTATCAAACCCCTCCATATGGTGTGCACGATGAAAAAATATAAACAGAAATTAGATGCACACACGAACGTGATTCGATTCACACGGATCTCGAAGCCGCCGAACAGCGAGCGCGGAAACACAAGGATCTGCGGTACCTGTGATTCTAGTATGAGCGAGTATCGCACTTACATGTTTTTAGTCAACATCGAGTAGCGATCTCTATGAGTAGTGATCTCTGATCATCGATGAGAAGAGAAATCGGTAATTTGGGGGTCATGTGCAAGGAAGCACAGGCAGTCAGGAAGTCAGTTGGCAACAGCGATCGATAGCAGTAACATCGTGTTCTCGGTAGCAGCAACTTTTAGAGAGTGAAGACCCATATCAAATCGTTCTCTCGAAACATCCGAACCGTGGCTCAAGGTGTCGCGCACTCAGCAGATCAGGGTAATATTAGATTGTCCGGAAAATTCGTGCCGATTTTGAAAGAAAATTGAAACGCAGAAGATTTAAATTTTAGTATACATTTATTAAATTATATAGATTAGTTGGCACGAACTTTCCGGACAATCTAATAGCTTCAAGCGTCTTAAAAATTCAGCTCAGGGTATTAGTCCCAAGTGTTGCCGAATTTGGTGCATCATTTGGCATTGAACGAGTGTGAAAAGATACATTGTGTAAAAATATTACGTCGTCCAACGAACGTTACATCGTGGTACATTAACTTGTGTCGATATAAAATTATTAGTTTTTATCAAAGCTATTATCTTTTATCCTTTTGTAAAGAAGCTACAACATGGTTTCTATAAACAAGAAGATATTGTTTATATTTTATATTTTATAGTTTTATTTTTTAAGTTGATTTTGGAAGCCGGAATGTTTGTCTGAAAACAAACGAATCAGAATTCTTGTATTGTAAGAATTACCAAGTGAAAACAAGTATTCATTCCTATGAAATATAACAAAATTCTGTGTTGAACGAATACATTTTATAAGTAAATCAAAATTTCTTGTTAATCGAATAAGCGCCAATTTCGTCAATCGAAGTATATATGTCATCTTTCCGTTAAATCTACTCGTATTTTATAGTAATCGAATTATTATAATTCTTCTCATTAAGTACAGAATTTCATGTTGATCAAATAATTTTTTCATGTTACCTATAGATGCATTCTGTTCATGCGCATAATGTAATAATTGTGCATTGTTGTTCACTGAATGATAAACAAGGATAAATAAAACATCATGAGCATCATGTGTAAAACAGAATGCATTCCTATCAGGAATGTGTTATCAAATCAATATAACATCAGGTTACAAATCAATATAACACAGAGAAATTCAAAAATTAATTTATTTCAATAATCTTCAAAACTTTTATACACTAATCTATTATAAATTACGAATCAGAAGAGAAAATCTTTTCTCAACAATCATAGCAAATATTACTTCAGGTGCATTTCGAGTAGTTACGCATGATGCATGAGTCTTGTTTACAGTTCGAATAATAAAGAAGAATAAAATTTTTCTTCATTTTACTGTACAGAATACAACACGCATGACATAAAAGTTATGAAGTATACAATATAGTATATGTTCGCCTGATCTGCTTCGACACATAATCGAACTAGAGTGCGCTGAAGTTAATATTAATTAGAATTTTGATAATGCTTACTTTTCCAATACCATATTAAACTGAAAAATATTTATTAAAAACTTTATAATATTATAATATAAAATATAAGTTAATATAATATTTATAATAGTAGAGTACCAAAGATAAAATCTTTATTTATAAAATCTCAAAATTATCATAATAATTTGAAATTCTATTTGATCAAATTTAATTATGTAGGTTAATATCAAAACCATTTTTCTCATTAGAGAGAAGATGTATTACACCCTAAATAGCACTTATTGATTCATATATGTTTCATATACGTTTTTTAATATCTAATGTTCTACAAACATTTAAGAAACGTATATAAAATCAACATATGCTCCTGGGGATAAAAAAAAATCGCTTTTTTTTTCTCTCCGAAACGTGACAGTACATTTCCCGAAAATTTCTTCGCGTTGAACACGATGCCGTTGGCAGAATTGACCGCAGGTTAGCATAGGATTTTGAGTAAAATGAAATGAAATGGGCAAAAATGGACGTTTTTGACCACACTTATTTTTTTTGCAGCAAAGGTAAATGGTTTTTAAATAAACTGAACAACTCCTATAAGCACACTGAGAAAAAAATACAGTAATGGTAACAAAAAAAGACAATTATTCATAAATGGCCGATTATCATTTGATTATTTTGTTGAAATAACAAAATACAATTTTTTTGATGAACAAAATTTTTTTTTAACAATACAAATTTATTATTTACTATTATTTATTATTTACTATTATTATTTATTATTATTTTATAAATAACATCGTGAAATTTGGTTGCCATTACAAAATAAGAATTTTTTTAGTAATTTCAACAAAATAATCCACTATGGTAGAGCAAGAAATGTTTTGCGGAGCTATCAGAGATGGCGTGTCTTCTCCTAAGAGAAATTCGACATCTATCTGTATAAAGCCGATAATTAGAAACTAATTTCGTGAACTTGTCGCCACATCATGAACAATTATGGTAACTATTTTTTCAAAGCGATTAGTAATCTCAATTTCTCTAAATCTATATATATTTTTGCTAAACTAAGGAAATTCAATAGCGCCAAACATAATTTTACTCTGTAGAAAGTGAGAAATATGTATTATTTTTGTTGCGATAACAAAATATTCTATTCGGACTACAAAAGATCTATAAACATCAATACAGTTTTGTATCATTAAATTATTAGTTCATTTAGTAAATACAACAAATTAATATTGTCATAGAATCAATGATTCGATTGATCATATCAACAAATAGTTTTCGTGTCAGTAACAAAACTTTAGTTATTGATACAAAACATTCCTCTCGGTGTATAATCAAAATTTTTCAATCGAACTTTGATTAATGATCATACGTTTTTTATCAAGTTATGGTTGTTCGAATTTTTTTTGTAACATTCTATATGTTTACAATTTTCACACACATTGCAGCATACATTATTTAGTCCACACATTTCAGTCAATTGAATAGAAATAGAGCATCATTGAATATGCAGCATCGGAAACAGAAGAATGCATCGAGTAAAATTTCTCAATTTTAAAAAATCGACATAGAATAGAATAAAAAACATAGCATTAAAAGATTTTTCAGCAATTCTGTTCTAAGAAAATAATTGTTTGAAGTGAGCCCCAAGGGCTCTAAGATAAAAGTATATTTTTTTGAAATATTTATCGAATAAATGAAATTTTCTGATATTTTAAAATGTTGCTTTATTACGCTTAACAACGATTTCGATCACATTTCATTCACATTTAGAAATCTTAACAACACTCGTTCCGTTAAAATGCCATCAGATTACTAACTTACTTATAGAAGTAAGACTTTAGACAGAAATTATTTCCATCATGTTGCCTTGTGATTTTTAACAACCTATACGATCGGTTTATAAAAGGGCAATTATTGACGTTAAGTTGCTTATAAGAGTTAGGATAATAAAAGTCGGCAACATCGGAAGTCTCTTTCTTAAATATTGAAGACAATTTAAGAAAAAGCAGTTCCAAACAAATTGACAGCAATTTGCAGGCAACTTGCTATTTGAGTAGATGTTATTGAGTTTTTATTTAGAGAGTACATTCCAGTACATTCCAGATAGCCAAATGCATCAAAATGCTGATATGTTTCTGAAAATCGTTGCAGCAACTAATTTTGATAAATTGGAGACAAGGTGAGACAGCATTATGACTGTCACGTTGAACTGAATAGAATTCTAAAGACAGCAATTTGAAAGCAACTTGTTATCAACATGCTGTCAGCTAATGCCATGTTTACAGCAACAATACAGCAACATTTACCAAACAATGATCATTATATGCTACATATATAACAAAGTGATGCTATCAATTTTGCCATAATCAAGTTTAGAATTCATATGAAAACAATATTTCTCATAATGAGGAAGCATTCCTCTCTAGTTTATCCCCATTGTTATTGCTACGATTAACAGCAATATAATGATATCTTAATTAAACACACATGGCATGAAATCAAGATGCCATTACATTGCTGTCATCATGGAATTAGAATTCTGATGGAAATGATGGAATTGATGTTTTCAAACTATGAAGTTTTTAAATCGATGCCATCATAGTTTGTTGCTAAATAAATGTTATTTCAAAATCATTTACCTGCGAGCATTATGCATCTCTGCCAGAGGGCCACGACATGCAATAATTTGTAATCAGTTTACAAATGCAGTTATTGTTGCATTCGTAACGTTTTAATTAATTCATTTTAATGCTAGCAAATGTACGCCGAATATAAAACAATTCATACAATGCATCAATTTGCTCAATGTGCTAAATCGCTTGGTTATCTGAATTCTTTTGCTAAAAAAAAATATTAAATGACCAAAAACATTTTTGTTCATATCAATTTTCTCAAAATCCTGACGTGCATGGCAAACGGTATTCTGTTAACGGTATCATTAAGCGCAAAAAAATCTTCAGGAAACGTATTATCGCATTTCTGTAAAGTTTTTTTCTTATAGCA